ATGTTGAAGGTGTCTGAATATATTTTGGTTTGACTGTATCTATTTGATAAATGAAGTTAACCAACTAACATTATACATACCCTTTTGGTTTCTGTACCCAATATTTAAAAAATTTACAAATGTAATAAAAATATAGGTATCGGCATCGGTATCGGCAAGTACCAAAAATAAAAGTATCGGTATCGGGCGAGTACTGGAAAAAGTGGTATCGGTGCATCCCTAATTCAAACGCAGTACCACAGCCCATGCTACTCTAAGGTGTTGTGTTTCCATTAAGTAGAAGTGACAGAGAGTCCAGAGAACATTCTGTATGATAAAGTGAACTGAATAGAGGGTTACAACTGGAGAGGTTGGTTTTCTTTGGCCACTGATTTGAAGTCTTCAAACAGGCTTTGTCCCATTCACACAAATGCACTTTGTATATCCTGTTTCCTTCCTGCTTCCTGAAGCGTAAACAAAAGCTAACTTTTCTTAACTTTTCCCATCCCCCAGACACATAATACATTGTTGCTCATTCCAGCTGCCATCCCCCAGACACACACACACACACACACACACACACACACACACACACAAAATAATACATTGTTGCTCTTTCCAGCTGGCTGCCTTCACATAGGTTAAGTAATTCAGCCAGGGTTATGCAATTAACAGCATATAAGCACACAAAACAAGTGTACTTCCTCCCTCATTGCCCGGTCAGGCGGTGCCCCCTGCAGCCTGGCACAGAACTGACCCGGAGAGACAGAAGCCCCTCAGCATTCAGCGCACATCCTCGGCTTTCAGCAGCTGATATTCACCTCACACTGCTGGCACAAGGACAGGGCCTCTTTATCAAGTCATGACTACAATACTACATTCTCAAACATCAGATGTTACGAAGGTACAGAAGAAAAGAGCATGTATTAAAAGGCAGAACCATGATTTGCACCAGTAAGAATCAATACTGTTCTTATCACTGCCAAAAAACACCTCTGACATCATTAACCTCAAAAACCACATTGATATTGATGCGGCTCAGAACCCAGTGCTGCTGGTACTAATATATCTATAAGTGTGATTTCTTGATTATAAACTATGAAAATAGCATAAAATCTCTGTGCGTGTGGTATAATTAAAGACACGGAGCCAATGGTACTCACCCTGGTAAGAGTTTGTGGAGTGTAGTCCGACAGGGATGTGATACTTGGCTACTTCCTAAACCCGGCCAACTTCCCAGCATTATCCAGCAAACACTCCTGTGCTTTCCAGTCAGATGCACAAAGACATGAAATCAAACCCGCACACCCTGACGCTCCAGTTACACACGTATGGATAATGTGATCCAGTGTCTGCTCTTTGGATCTTTCTGGCTGAGCATCTGACTGGACTTCAGTTGTCGTTGCCAGGCAATAGCTGCGACCAATCAGAGAGCCGCATTCACTCAATTCACACTGTACCACAGCATTACACATGAGTGAGGGAGAGGGAACTATGGGCTGCTAAAAGGCTCTCAAAAGCTTGGGGCTTTATCAATTATTTAGGGTATTAAATTGTATTTACACTGAACAGACAGCTAAGTGTGTGTGTGTGTGTGTGTGCCCTGCAGCTGTAGTGAAATCACAGTTATCACATTAGAGAGGAGGGTAGTCTGTCTTTGAGGATCAGTTAGTTCAGCCCTTTTCCAGTCAGGTATACACTAATATAGTTTTATGATATTAAGAGGACCCTGTTTTGTTGCATATTACAGATCAAGTCCAATCCATTTGAACTGTCTGTCAGTCTAGTGTTATTTTAGTATTATTTGTAGTATTTTTTTAAATGTTAATTTAACTTCTTTCAGTTTTCATTTTAATTTAAGTTTACCTTTTAGTAATTTTGCTTTTGTATAGGCGTAGTAATGTGCTTTTGTCCTTTTTATAATTTTTTAAAACATTTTAAATTGTTATGTTCTTTATTTTAATAATTCTATTTAATTTTCTATTTTATTATTTTATTTCAGTTTTAGTTTGTAATTTGGTTACACTTTATTTCGATAGTCCACTTTAGACATTCTACCTCATTGCCCGGTCAGGCGGTGCCCCCTGCAGCCTGGCACAGAACTGACCCGGAGAGACAGAAGCCCCTCAGCATTCAGCGCACATCCTCGGCTTTCAGCAGCTGATATTCACCTCACACTGCTGGCACAAGGACAGGGCCTCTTTATCAAGTCATGACTACAATACTACATTCTCAAACATCAGATGTTACGAAGGTACAGAAGAAAAGAGCATGTATTAAAAGGCAGAACCATGATTTGCACCAGTAAGAATCAATACTGTTCTTATCACTGCCAAAAAACACCTCTGACATCATTAACCTCAAAAACCACATTGATATTGATGCGGCTCAGAACCCAGTGCTGCTGGTACTAATATATCTATAAGTGTGATTTCTTGATTATAAACTATGAAAATAGCATAAAATCTCTGTGCGTGTGGTATAATTAAAGACACGGAGCCAATGGTACTCACCCTGGTAAGAGTTTGTGGAGTGTAGTCCGACAGGGATGTGATACTTGGCTACTTCCTAAACCCGGCCAACTTCCCAGCATTATCCAGCAAACACTCCTGTGCTTTCCAGTCAGATGCACAAAGACATGAAATCAAACCCGCACACCCTGACGCTCCAGTTACACACGTATGGATAATGTGATCCAGTGTCTGCTCTTTGGATCTTTCTGGCTGAGCATCTGACTGGACTTCAGTTGTCGTTGCCAGGCAATAGCTGCGACCAATCAGAGAGCCGCATTCACTCAATTCACACTGTACCACAGCATTACACATGAGTGAGGGAGAGGGAACTATGGGCTGCTAAAAGGCTCTCAAAAGCTTGGGGCTTTATCAATTATTTAGGGTATTAAATTGTATTTACACTGAACAGACAGCTAAGTGTGTGTGTGTGTGTGTGTGCCCTGCAGCTGTAGTGAAATCACAGTTATCACATTAGAGAGGAGGGTAGTCTGTCTTTGAGGATCAGTTAGTTCAGCCCTTTTCCAGTCAGGTATACACTAATATAGTTTTATGATATTAAGAGGACCCTGTTTTGTTGCATATTACAGATCAAGTCCAATCCATTTGAACTGTCTGTCAGTCTAGTGTTATTTTAGTATTATTTGTAGTATTTTTTTAAATGTTAATTTAACTTCTTTCAGTTTTCATTTTAATTTAAGTTGTAATTTTGCTAATTTTGCTTTTGTATAGGCGTAGTAATGTGCTTTTGTCCTTTTTATAATTTTTTAAAACTGTTATGTTCGTTATGGGTTACACTTTATTTTGATAGTCCACTTTAGACATTCTATTAACTATACGTAACTTTGTAACTACATGTCAACTACATGTCAACTAATTCTCAGAGTAGACTGTTAGGGTAGGTTTAGGGTTAGTAGAATGTTGACAAAGAAAGTGTTAGAAGATATTAAGCAGACAGTCTACTAATACTCTACTAACTGCTAGTTGACATGTAGTTGCAAAGTTACTTACTTTTAATAGAATGTCTAAAGTGGACTATCGAAATAAAGTGTTACCTGTAATTTTAATTTGAACTTGTTTAATTAGTTGCCAAGACAACATTTCTACTGTCCATTTGAGTTTTTTAATTTTTTCATCTAATATTTAATTTAATTGAATTTCAATTCAATTACAAAATTAAAAAAAAAAAAAAAGTTTTAGTTTTAGTTAACAATAGCTAAATAGTTTGTTACATTAAATATTATATTTGCTTTTAAAATTAATTTGTTTTATATTAAATTTGTTTTTAAATTTTAAATTGTATTATATTTGTTGCAGTGCAATCACCACATGCCAAGTTTAATGATAGGATCTTAATAATGTAATACTTAGCCAGCACAACTAATAAATGTTGTTTACTTGGCATATACTTTTCAGCTTTTAATGAGGTGTAAAATCTGTAGATGGGCTGTGTTGTTAAATATATATGAGTTTATAAGAACATTTTTATGCCATTAGTATTGTTGAGAGTTCAGTACACATATTGTGATTGAGGCTGATGAGTTTGAAAGGGTTTGAAATGGTGGACGACACACATATACACAAATATACACACACACACACACATACACACACACACACACACACACACACACACATACATACACATACACTACTCATATACAAACAAAAACACTGTTATAAGCACTCGCCTGAATAAGAGGGTTTACGAGAGAGAGAGGAGGAAAACTGTAGAGAGACAGAGAGATCTTCACCCACATTGTTCCACTGATGCAGCAGAGACTGATATATAATTCAGCTGCGCGTGCGAGATATGGTCACATATGGTCACTAGCGAGCTGTGAGACACGGGTGATACTGTCTACACACACAGCGCTAATGACAGAAGCCTGACAGCCTCTGTGTCTTTCACACACTGAGTCACACTCACTTCATCTTTAATGTCTAGGATCAGAAATGATCAGCACATTAAAGTCATAATAGCGCTGAAGACAGATTCTTCAGAAGAAGCAGGTGTCCACAGATATAGTAACTCTAACCATGTTGGCAAAGCTGAATTTTCAGCATCATTACTCCAGTCTTCAGTGTCACATGATCCTTCAGAAATCATTCTAATATGCTGATTTACTGCTGAAGAAACATTTCTTATTATTATCATTGTTGAAAAGAGTTGTGCTGCTTAATATTTATTTGGAAACTGTTATACATTTTTTTCAAGATCCTTTAATGAATAGAACGTTCAAAAGATCTGCTTTTGTAACATTATATACTATTTATTACGTAGTCTACATGTGTGGTTTATATGTCTTCTGAAACCAGGCAGTAACTCGTCCACTCAATAACTCTGAAATCTATACCATATTTGAGCACAAATGACAAGTTCATTCCTGATAAGTTTGACCTGTCAAGTTGCTCATTATTGGAATGTACATTAACATAGATGAGAATTGAGAGTTGGAGGACGGTTTTCAATGAAATATCAAATATGGTCTTTGTATGGGTTTAGAAGTCTTGAAATATAGTGTATGAGTCATATGGACTACATTATTGTAATTTTACAGTGATTTTTTGTCATTTTTTGAACCTCAACAGCTTCTGTCCCCATATAATTGCTGAAAAGAAAAAGAGCAGCCACGTTCATTAAAATATTTTAAGAAAATTAGGATGATGCATATAAGCAGAAGCATATACAAAGGCCGATAAATATTACATTTTTTATGTTATCATCTTGTTTTTCTTATAATTCAGGTTTACACCTTCAATAACAGCCAATAAGACAGTAGAAGACTCCTCTGAGGCATTATTGAATGCTGCAAGATATGAGATTCCATTCATATCAAGAAAAAGGCTTTCTGAGACGGATTGAAACCCGTTTTTTTTTCTTTTTCTTTTTCTCATGCTGGAAAGATTTAAGCATGAGGACATGCAAAAACTACTTTATCAAAGTGTCTGTGTAATGCGTTTTATCCATACGATCCTAAGCACACTCAAAAGCTTCTAACTGGGAATTAACAACTATGCTAAATCCATTTAAGCCAATGAATATGGATATCTTGCCTTTTATTTATTTATTTATTTTTTTACAATATCCCAGTGCATTTTCTCCCAATTCTCTGCTAAGTTAATGAGACAAACTTCAAAAACTAACACATGACTCCTGAATTGATTATCACACACACACACACACACACACACACACACACACACGTTTGTTTTTGTGAATTGTGGGGAACACACACACACAGGTTTGTTTTTGTGAATTGTGGGGACATTCCATAGGCGTAATGGTTTTTATACTGTACAAACTGTATGTGCTATTGCCCTACACCAACCCTACCCCTTACTGGAAACTTTCTGCATTTTTACTTTCTCAAAAAAACTCACTCTGTATGATTTATAAGCGTTTTGAAAAATGGGGACATGGGGTTATGTCCTCATAAGTCACCCTCTCCTTTTTAATACCTATGTCATACCCATGTCATTATACAAATTTGTGTCCTCATATGTCACAAAAACGCGCGCGCACGCACACGCACACACACACACACACACACACACTATCTGAGGTAAAAATTTCAGCCCGTTGGTGTTGTGTGGGTGGGGGGGTCTAGGTGCCCTCCGCAGAAATAGAAATAGGGGCACCTAGATCAGACCGAAAGGGCACTTTATCGTCTGCATTAAAGGGGCAGGGGCTTGAGCACCCCCCACCCCATTCACGCAACTGTATGACTGTGCTGAACAGCCCAGAGGAACCGACCGAGCTGTTAGCAGATCAGAGAGCGCCCCCTAGTGTTACTGATGCTCAGTGAATACTACTGAAAAAGTGCCTTACAAACACACTGGCTATGTTCAGAATGGAATAGGGGCGTAATGCTGACAGGACTTTAGGTGTATAGCCTATAGCCTACTATTAAAACACACACACACACACACACACACACACACACGCACACAAAATTAGGTAGAATACTATGCAGTATGCAATAATTAACAATTGCATACATTTTTGTCACATGACTTATACTAGGCAGCCTAAAAAATGAATGAGTTGAATAGTATAAGTAGTATA